TCGGCGATAATGCAGTGGGGGGTCACTCAAATTAAAGAGTGGTTCAACCACTTTAAACATGGCTGTATGGTGGTGGACAGTGAGCAGCGTTCCGGGAGACCATTAGCAAGCCGAAATGCTGATGTCATTGAAAAAGTGCGGACACTGATCATGGAAGACCGTTGTTTGGCCATCCATGAAGTTGCTGATGAGGTTGGGATCAGCAGAGGTTCCGCAAACACAATTCTAACTGAGGATTTGGGCATGCAAAGAGTGGCGGCAAAATTTGTGCCCAAGCTGCTTTCGCCGGAGCAGCAACAACTCCGCCTTGAGGTCGCGCAGGACATGCTGGAGTGCGGCAACAGTGATCCTGAGTTCCTGAAGACTGTGATCACTGGTGACGAGTCATGGGTGTATGGATATGACCCAGAAACCAAGGTTCAGGCATCACAATGGAAGCATCCAACATCCGCGAGGCCCAAAAGAGCATGACAGGTTCGGAGCAATGTGAAGGTGGTACTGACTGTTTTTTTCGATTACCGGGTTGTTGTGCATCATGAATACGTACCACTAGGCCAGACTATCAATAAGGAGTACTACCAAGAAGTTCTCCGCCATCTTCGTGATGCAGTTCAGTGCAAGTGACTGGAGCTGTGGTACGCATGCAACTGGCAGCTGCATCATTACAACGCCCCAGCTCATTCATCACACTTGATCCAAGGTTTCGTGGCCAAGCACAGCATTCCGCAGGTTCGCCAGGCTCCCTACTCTCCTGACATGGCTCCTTGTGATTTCTGGCTATTCCTGAGAGTGAAGACACCGCTAAAAGGCTGCCATTTTGACAGCCGTGAGGACATCATACAGAACGCGATGGCGCAGCTGCACGCCATTCCAAAAGAAGCCTTCCAGAATTGCTTCCAGCGATGGAAGGACCACTGGGCTAAGTGTGTGGAGTCACAAGGGGCCTACTTTGAAGGCGATTAAGTATTGTAACCACCCAGACACAGAACTTTTTTTTTTCCTGGCCCATGGTCAGATACTTTTTGGACAGAGTAGTATATATATACAGTAGAACTTGGTTATAACGTCATCAAAGGGACCTAAAAATAGTGTCGTTATAAACGAATGTCGTTGTAACCGAAATGGGCACTTCCACAGTAGCCTTATGTTAGTCACGTAAAAATCTACCAAAAACCGAGTTAAAATGTTGCATTTTTTAGTGAAATACGTAGTTAAGTACAGACTAACGTAACATTAACGTGGAATTGCCCAAATGTGTAATATCAAAGACATATTACAGCGCTTTTCACTGACAATACACACCGCACTAATACTGTATATTAAAGGTAGGCCTACTCACCAAATTACAGTAGATTACATCAATTGTTGTGCCTTACTGTACCTAGATACGAGTACAGTAATCAGTTATCTTCATCTGTTTCCTGTTACTTGCCCAAAACACACTTTCTAAATTATGTTCAATGTACATATCAGAAATTCAGGAATGAAAATGACGTTACATATGAGGTTGATGCATTTGTGCATGTCGTACTAAGCAAGGTATAAAAACAGTTGCTTTATGAGGAATTAGTTCGTACCATTGAATATTTGACGCAATAGACAAGGTGTCGCAGAAACCGATGTTGCTGTAACCAAGTTTTACTGTATATGGACGTAACCTTGAGAGAAGGATATTGGATAAAATTTTGCATGAAGACGATAGCAGTGATATCCCATGATAATTACTACATTCAGTTTTATCACCCTTCTTGTGAATTGGTACAATAATAGACTTCTTCCATAAATCAGCAAATTCTTCCTTATTCCAAATAGTATTAATGTGCTTATAGATCTCACACCATAATGTTTCACATCGTGCTTGAATCAGTTCTCCCGGAATTTGATCACTACCTGACTGTCCAACTTTGCATTGGCAATTTCAGCCTCAAAAGGACTGGGATCAGATACTAATGGCTCAGCTGCATATACTTCTATCTGTGTAATATCACTGACCCCATGTACATTCAATAATTGGGAGAAGTAGTTCTTCCACCTGTTCAAAATGTTGTGGGAATCTGCAAGCAGATAACCATTCTCATCCTTCACTAAGTTACTTATAGGTTGCTAACCCCTCTTAAAATCATTTATTCCTCTATACATGTCTCTAATGTACTTGTTCTTACTGTTCATTGCAAGCTCATCAGTTTTGTCTTTCAGATATTTCCTTTTTTCCTGAAATGCCTGCTGGTTTCACACCTTATATTGTTCAGATTATCCCCATTTATTTCACTTGGATCCTGTTATCACTGCAATTTGGCGTGTTTACTTTTGTCTAATAATTTTGAGCATCCTTCATCAAACCATGGGTTATGCTTCTTCAGTTCATAATAACCTAGACTCTCCTTGGCAGAAATTTTGATATTCTAATAGTTTCCCAAGCTTTATTAACATCCACCTCATTGTTTTCCACAGCTACAAACTTATTTGAGATTTCAACACAATACTGTGCTCTTTACCCTCTGCCTCATTTAATTTCTTGAGATTGAACCTCTCCATATGAACTCTATGCATTGTTTGCTTGCTCACTGGCAGTCTTTCCCTAACCTTTACTACCAGCACATAGTGGTCAGTATCACAATCTGCTGTCCTGAATGTGATCAGACATGAAGTATACTTGAATGCCATCTCCTATCAAAATACAGGTATGGTCAGTTTGATTGTAAGTCTTTCCATCAGGAGATGTCCCATAAATTAGTGAATGTTATGATGTGGGAACATTGTATTTTTCACAGATTTTTGTATATGGCAAATTTACTATTCTAACTCCATTATCATTACTAATTTTGTCCAAACTCTTGTTCCCAATCACTGGTTTGAAAATGTCTTCCCTACCTACTTTGGCAATTAACAGATTTTTTGTATGGTATTTTAGGGAATTTTTCGAATACATGTTCCAGTTCTTTGTAGAACTGGTCTTTTACATCACCAATTTTATACTCTGATTTTGCATGAACATTCAGAGCAATGATATCACACCGGAGACTTCTTAGTATTATGTACGACATCCTATCACTAATAAGCTCTACCCTCTTAACTGGTGATATGATTCTCTTATGTACAAAGAAACCTGTACCTAATTCACGATTCTCATTCCCCCTTCTATGGAAAAATATATATTCACCTGTTGGTTTGGTGCCACCCATGTCCCATGTTATTTCCTGTACTCCTGCTACACCTGACTCATATTTAGAAATTTCTTTTGCATCTGTCATGAGCAAAACTGCCCTACACAGACTTCTTACATTCCACATACCAAATCTCATGTCCATTTTCCATATCTTAGGTCATTTAACCAAAGAATCCATCCAAGTGCGAGGGCCTTTGTAACATTTCGTAACAAGAGTATTTTTTACAGTGATGAGCTATTAGCCCCCACACCCAACTCCCAAACTGGAGGACCACCCCTTGTCAGCTGTCTGCAACTGCTTATTCAGTATATTCTCAATTACCCTCCATATCTGGAGATCTTCTCCAGCATCTGCAGCCTGAGGGCACACCATGCTGTGGTGACAAGAGAACCACCCAACATGGTACCTCAGTCCCTTAGTTTCAAAAGTCCGTCAGAGTTGAGGGAGAAAAATTTGGCATATCATCACTATTCACTATAGGTAATATATTATTCAGAATTGAAATTTTATTCCTAAAAAATAATAATGCACTTATTTTCAAGCTTCATAAAACCATGCAGGCAAGGCATGCAGTGAAGTAGTTTAACGTAAATCAAAAAGCACCTGAAGATGGCACCTTTGTGCCAAAACATGTAGTGCGGGAGTGAAGAGTGAAGTGGATGAGTGTATGCACTGTAAGACGGCTGGAATAAATCATGGACATAAATCAGTGCAACAGGATGCTAAAATATAACATTATTCATAAAACCATATTATTTTTCACTTAACTGTTTTGCTTTCCAGTTTTTCTTTGGAATAACAAGCTTTGCATCACTTCCCACTTCTTTATTTACCTTAGATATACTAGTTGCATTAGCCACTAAAGGTATCACTTCATCCAATGTAATATGAGGATTATTTTGTAAAAACGTTTAACATGCACCATTTTTCAGTACTTGTACTTTCCTTTCTTATGTTTCACCACAGAAAGGTCAGGTTCGGTCACGTTTCAAAAACTAGCACACTGATATAAGAAAAAGGCTAAGAAATTAGATGCTTAAAACTGACTTCTATAGTAAATAAACTAAAACACAATAGTTATTTGTTGTTTACATTTTTTTTCGCGTGGATGAACAAGCAATGTGGAGAACTAATCAGAAGGAGGTAAGCACTGTCAGATGTCCATCATGTGTTAGTGCAACCAATGATAGAGTTTAGGGCACAGCCAGGGTGCTGCTCTGACAACCGTCATGCTGCCCCATGTTGAGCAGATGGATATATTTTTAATATTTAGTTATAAGTATGCTGAGTGTAAGCAAACTCACATTGCATTTGTTAACAATAAACAAGGTAACTTTGAAGAAAGCAGTCTTCTGGGATTTGGCACCGTGTATATGTGGTGTTAACCGACGTTTTGGAGGAACGTATCGCCTCCATTTTCAGGGTAGAAGAAAAAATATAAGAAATCTGCAAGCGAAGAGACCGCGAGAACCGGTAACTCACGGTCTCTTCGCTTGCAGATTTCTTATATTTTTTCTTTACCCTGAAGATGGAGGCGATACGTTCCTCCGAAACGTCGGTTAACACCACATATACACGGTGCCAAATCCCAGAAGACAGCTTTCTTCATAGTCACCGCCGTGAAAGCCTCAAATCTTACAAGGTAACTTTGTGTTCTTATTTGTTTGTTTTCCATAAATAACCACTAAGATGAAAAGCATTCTTGCTGTTATTATTTTAAGAGGTATGAGCTTCTGTTATATCAAACATACCTGTACCCTCCTTCAAGTAGTTTACTTCACCTCTCAGAGTGTGGGACAGAGTGTAAGGTGAAGTGACATGTTTTTGCTTCAGGTCTGTCAGCTTAAATTACACCAATGCAGGTATTGATCCAGATGATTTTAAGGCATCCATTTTGTTCAAAGCATTGGAAGCAGCTATGCAGGCAGATGAAGACAATCTGATTGAGAAAGTGAGAGGAATATATGCCTTCAAAGTGCGGAATGGCCCAAATGGCAAGGAAGGTTATTGGATTGTCAATGCTAAGACGGATAAAGGCAGTGTGGAATTCAATGGCAAAGGTATGTAATAATTTATTGCCTTTGCTGTTCACATTAAATGCCCTTTGCTCTTTGACCAGTTAAAATTTACTTTAAAATGCTAGGTACATACTGTCTCCAGGTTCTGTTAGGACTGTGTTCATTAAAAATACAAGACGTGAATTATTTTCAAAAGTTTACTCTTTTTATTCAAAGTAGTCTCCTTCTGAATCAAAACATAGTTGGAATCGATTGAAAAGTTTTTGAAAACAGTCACTGTACTCCTATTGTGGAATCAAATTTAAAACTGCGGTACTTTCCCTTTGTATGTCCTGGATAGTGTCGTGACGGTCTCCTTTCATCGCCAACTTAACATTTGGGAACATCCAGAAATCTGCTGGAGCCAAATCTGGCAAATACGGAGGACGATCAAGGACTGTGATCCCTTTTCTGGCCAAAAAATCGTGCTCCGAGATAATAATCAGAATTCCCTGTTTGACCTTCTGGCAGAAATTCCTTTGGAATAGAAGGAAACAGCAGTGTCTTTACTCGACTCTTCCGCATGCGCACTTTCTTTGGGCTCAACCACACTGCACTCTGCCGCTTTATGAGAGGCTCATAATGAAAACACCATTGTCTTCACCAGTAACAATCGATTTTGTAAATTTTGTATCACTTTGGGCTGGCCATAACATGTTTTTGCGGTGTTTCACTCTGGCATGTTTTTCATTGCCTGACAGCGTGTGCGGTACAAACCGCGCACAGATCTTCCATTTGTCCAAGTCCTCGGTCAAAATTTGATGCACAGTACTTTTTGGTATTCCCAAAAGCTCATCGATGAGTCTTGCAGAAATACATCTGTCTGATGCAAGGATTTGAGTCACTTTTTTCACATTTTCTTCAGTGCGACTTGTTCTCAGCTTTGATGCACATGGAGCATCTTCAATGTCCTCCCTGCTGTCACGAAATACAGCATACCATCGAAGAATGTTCGAGCGACTCAAACAATCACTACCATACACACTTTTCATCATTTCGTATGCTTCTCTGGCTGTTTTGCCTAACTTCAAACAAAATTTGATGTTGGCTCTCTATTCAACTGTCATTTTCCGATGGGCGTCAGAACAGTGCTGTTACATTCAAGGTCAGAATACATGATGCAGCGAAGCTTGCGCTTTGAAATTATAGACAGCCACAGCGGAAACTTCAGGAATCTTGATGCCACAACTCTCCAGCAAATGGCATTGCAGGGCAAAATTTAAAAAAATGAGTCCTAGCAGATCCTGGAGACACTGTGTATGTACAAATATTGAACTGCTCTATGCCATTTCATTATAGTTGTTTTATGAAGGAATTTATAAAGTTTTGGTTTGAGCTTATATATATTGCATTACAATCTCTATGGCTACGTTAATTTGCAAGTTCCAGAATGCATCTATTGCACATAAATCATGTTCCTCATGTTTTCTAATATAAAACTTCATTTGTCCACAGCCAAACCTGATGTCACATTTATAATGGATGATGGTGATGTTGTTGATTTAATTTCTGGAAAGTTGAACCCACAGAAAGCTTTCTTCCAAGGAAAGATAAAGATACAGGGTAACATGGGATTGGCAATGAAATTGCAGGATCTTCAGAGACGAGCAAAGGACAGAATTGAAGAATTTAGGTCCAAGTTATAATATATAGAATTTAGCCATTCCAGATATTAAATCAGGTGAAAGGCAACTTTTTTACTTTCTGACAATAGATTGTGTATATGTGCATATGAAAATAATTTTTTATATCCAGAAGGTTGGACTCTAAATCTACATATTTTGTGCAGAATGCTCTGAAAACTAGTTTTGTAGATTTGCAAAGTTATTCTTGCTTAAAAATTTTTTGAATACACTGAACTGCACGCAGTAGCGTAGTTGGTTAGGCACTATGCTACAAGCTGGAAGGTCATGGGTTTGAATCCCATTGAGGAGGATTTTTTTCAGTTTACCTACTCCTTCCAGCTGCACCATGGCCCTGGGGTCAACTCAACCTCTAACCGAAATGAGCAGCAGGATTATTCTTGGGGGTAAATGGCCACTGGCTTGTAAGGCTGACAACCTTACCGCCATCACTGAGGTGATTGTCTAGAAATTGTGGGAACCTCAACATCTCACAACCCTATATGGGCCTCGATGGCCTGTTACAGGGATACCTTTACTTACTTTACTCTAAATTATAAAGTATAATAAATAACACATAGTTTCTTTCAGTTTTACACTGCATAATACAGAAAATATTCAAAAAATCGCAGTGATTGAAATTAAGGTTGATTTTGTTCTTATAATGTAGTATCTGAAAAGTGACCATGTTTCTCTACAAGGGTATCCATGTAGATATGCACTGTTTGAAGGAAATCTTAGTTCAGATATACCCTTTCTTAGTAAGGAAGGCAGTTGCAGCTATTACCTTTCCGTCATTTGTGATTTAAAATATAACATTTTAAAAGTTTCTGTTAACTCACAGATTTTAAGTGCAGGTCAATTAAAATGTTATGATGATAATCTGATTTTAAAATTACAATATTCTGCTGTAATTCCACTCTGCCAAGTTTTTCTTGGTGGGGATTTATCAACTTATATGCATATATACAGTGTTTTATACTTTTGATATCTTGTTTCAAATGTTAATCATCAGTTTTATCAGTGATATTAGAACTAATGAAGTGACCTTGTGAGATTAAGGGGAAGGGTGATTTATTTTGTTTATAATTTTGTTCTCCTGGGGTACGTGGTTTATTTTTAAGGCTGGAGCTGAAAAGTTAGTTTGGCTTTAGTTGTGCATGTGCCTAATTATAGTGGAGTTAAGGATTTTTATTCATGTAATTTCAATATGATATTGTTACATCATTGAGGGATTGACTAGGAATCGGTACCTCTGTACACATTAAGTAACTGAAATCTGACCATACTTATTAGTGAAGGCTATTCATATGTGTTTTAATTGGTGTTTCCTGTAAGGGTATACATTATTGTAATACAGTCTTGAAATTGTCATCAATTAACGTGACTTCACTCTGATTCTGGTTGAGATGTTTTTTTAACTCTTTGCTTTCAAGACTCGATATTCCGTATGAAGTAGCATTTGTTGTGCCATTTGAGAGTGAATATTACGGGCGGACCTAATAAAACCTCTGGATGCAGCTAGCCTCATGGTGGTCATGCCTGGTGTACAGCATTCCTCTTATTGAGTACCTCTGATGATATTCTTTTGCATTGGTATTCGTGAGATATCAGTGTAAAATCTTTTTCTGTGCTCAATGCACTGTCCGTGGAGAGCACACTTGGGAAAGTGGAGGTTAATAGATTTTTCCAGAGAGAAATACAGTATAGGCCTGGGAAAGAAGAAATTTGAAAGATCTGAATGGAGGCTGTATGATTAGCTTTTGAGACTCTTAACAGGCCCTAGATGACTAAACCTTGATAGTATGGGGAAAAAAAAGGCAGTGCTTGTTTATAATCAAAGCAGTCATATTGTTGCTTGCTTAGATTTTTTATCAGTTTACATCCTGATGTATGTCTGTACCATGTTTGAGGCACAGAAGTGTCTGATAAATGATTTTCAACCACAAGATGCCTATGGGAACAATATTGCCAGTTGGCCATATATAAGATTCTGGTCTTGAGTTATCTCGATAATGTTGTCCTTTGATTTGTCTTTAGTGTCTCAAAAGTGAGGTTATATTTCCTATATGGGATAAAATTAAGTTACTTATTTACATCACAGACTATGTTAATACTCCTTTCTTGGGTTAACAGTATCCATTGCACTGAAACAAAGTTTAAAACTTCCCTTCTGTTATTATCAGACACACAATTGTAGCATTCATTGTTGGAGGAGTGTTTTCTGGATGTTTCAATTTTATATATATGCTATATCAGAGGTATTTTCTTGTATGTAGGGGACTTTTGACAGCCTAGAGCATGCATGCTAGTTATTGTACAGACTGTAGAGCATGTTTACTATATGTCCAACTTGTACAGATGCATTTTTCATATACATTATTATATGCTGTAATTCTTGTTAAGAGAAGGAAATATTTTGATTGGGTTATGAGAAAAATAAAGTGCTAAAAAAGTGTAATTTGCAGAGAGTGCATTCTTTTCTTCACTTAACCATTTGCGGTCACAACATTAAGAAAAATTTTTCCAGCCAGGACGACACAGGTTTTTAAATACCTGGTGAGCCACTAGGTGATTGGTTGTGCCCAAGAAGTTGATTCAACAAGAGCATAAAGTAAAATAGCAAAATGTATACTTAAATTTTTGATTGTCTAATTCTTGGACCAACTGATCGTTGCTATGCCATCTGTCAATGACACACTTAGTCCTGGCCTGTCATCAAGGAAAAAACTCTTCTTGAAATGAACAGTTTTCAGAGTATGGCAAGTTACACACATTGTCTGTATGTTTTCTGTTAAGTTTGATTTGTTTCATCCTGGTGGTCCATCACACTAACAAGAGTATAAAAGGTTAATTAATTCCATCCAGTGTGACTGATGAAGTTTTTTTTTATCTTTTTAATATTTTATCCTTAACATGTTTTGATCTTATAGACCATCTTCAGAAGGATATCAATACAATTAGATCATATCCTTTTTATTCTCTTTGAAGGAAGCAAAGCGTCTACCGCCTTGTGGTTCTGTTGTATGGAGAATAGGATTCTTTAGTGTCATTCTGTTGATGTTCGAGGCACGTTGTGTTGTTATTCCGATAATTTGGAATTATGCTGTGAGCATAATCAGTGTCACTTTCAGCTAATACAAATAATGTGATGCCCCACTTCGTTGGTTTTTTATTATAAATTTTAAAAATTATTTTGCACTTGAACCCCACTGTTGATTCACCTATTGCAATGCTTTTTACCTAGCACAAAATTTATCTGAAACCGTTTATCTATATGTTCTATCACCTCATGTACTTTCTTTGTTCTTTTGATGGCCTGATTGCTTTCTTTGGAGTGAGCCATGCAGTGGCTCCGGTATGACGTCATGGGCTTCCAACTTATCCCCTACCCCCCCTCCATGTGGCACTGGGTCACGTGGTGTTGCCCTCTCCCCTCCTTTCTACCCCTGGGAGCCTTGCTTGGAAGTTAATTCGAGTTCGGAGTTCAGTTCTGGTTATGGATCCATAGGGCCTTGCTCGCGGCGCTGAGCCAGCCGGAGCGGCTGTCAAATTCCTGTTCGGCTGGGAGTCGAAACTTGGTTTCGGCAAGTACTGGGCTGGTTCGCGGCCGATGAGATCGCCCGCGGTCGCCCGTCATTGGGTTTGTAGGACGGCGGCGACTGGTACCAGTTTGGTTAAATCTGTTTTTATAATTTATATTGTGTATTTAATTTAGACTCAGCCTGTGGCCCGGCTATATGTAGTACTTATGTTTTCATGCAACCAAGGCAAATTGTTGCACCAGTAAATATGGGCCATTCTGCCCGAGTTAGATGCCGCTGTGTGCGAGCATGTAAATGTGCAGTTAGTTCAGTTGTTCTGTTTAATTTCTGTTGTGTTTATTAAATTCTGTTATTTGTTAATATATTGATTGCCATCATTTGTAACTACATTTACCACGCTGCTAGCTTGGATCCCTTACACTAACTTAGGGAGCGTGCGAGCACAGCATGAGAGCCGTATGACGGAGCAACGTTTCCCCCTTCGATTGAGGAAGGGTAGACGGAGCCGAAAGGTGCCAGAGAGTGACGGTGCTGTGGTAGCAGACCGTAAGACGGTACAAGTGGTACATATAGTACCAGAGCGGACTGACGGCACAAATGGTAGCAGAGCGAAAGCGGCACCAAGTGGTAGCAGAGTGATCGATTTTCACTTAGGACCTTTGGAACGCTAATTGTTAGCCCCCTAGGCTGTGCCTGGGCCGATGGATTGTAAATAACCTGTCATAGGCTCTGTGTATGTTTACGTATATTGTATTTATATTTGTTCTTGTTGTGTTCCATGCTTAGTCAAAATGCCACGCGCGTGGA